TTCGGGGAATCCCGAAAAATTTCGCTGTTCCGAAATTTCTCGTTATATTCCCTCGGTGCGAGAATTCGGAGGAAATAAATAATTCGGAGGAAATAAATAAATAATAACAAAAAATCCAAAAATATCTCGAATTTTTCCCCGGTGTCAATTTTCAAGTCAGAGAAATATAATAATTACTAAAATTTTTCTGATTTTCACACGTTCCCTGCAAAAAATAATTGAAGTTCCCCCTTTTCTCAGAAAAATTGATTTTTCACTGGCTGACTATCTCAATCAGCAATTGAACTCATATCACGATTAATTCCCCGTGATTTCAAATCGACTTCGCGATTTCCAGAGCTTCTGCTTCCGATTTCATGATTTTAAATGATTTCACATAATTTCAATTTCGAGTGACGCAATGATTCCCCCAATGAATAGGCCATCAACTCGTGGTTATCCACCGTAAAATAATTTCGAGCAATTCTCCATTACTCATAAATAAGAATAAATATTCACCTATCCATTATGTGAGAGCCCTATCCCTGGACAAAGGAAAAAGGATTGTGCAATCGCATATTGCAGCACACGTGACTAAAAGTGATCATTAATTGGGTCGAAATGCTGTGCAATGTCAAGATCCAGTCGATCGATCATCTATCAATACAAGATTAGCTCCACATGAAGAAATTTATTTGTATACAAATGTTGTACGGGCGTGGATATAGACTTGAGAAATTATTCACCCCGGCATTGGATTTCAGATCCATTCACCATCACTTTTGGGTACCATAGGGAACTCGTTGCTAAATGTTTCGTATTGCTACTGTTGACGTATCCGGGATAATTCAAGTCCCCCTGATTTTAATGGACGACAAACGGAATCTAAAAGCAGTAGTTTACAAGCAACTGCGTGGGCAGAAGCTTGAGCTCTACCGCGCAGTCTCTATTGTCCTGTCTCTCCAGTCGTTTTGCCATTATTTTTTTTGTTTTGTTTATTTATTCATTTTTTTTTTCATCGTCCAATTGAAAATTTTCTTCGTTCCTTGTGGGGACTTGTCGGTCAGCCGTTCAATTGATGGATTATCTTGCGGTAGCAACGAAAAATTCACTGAGCGCAGGATTTCTCTAATTAATCATACGTTTGGGGATATTATTTCGAATTTCGGGGAAAATTTGGGAGATTTTGGAAAATGATAATGAAAATTCAGGGAATTTGTGAATTTCCCATTTTTCTTAGATTTTTTTTTTCAATTTTTTTTAGGAAATAATTAAACTGAAAAATCTTGTATTTTGGGGATCTGAATGAATTTTTTAAACAAAAAATTGTGGAAATTTTTCAAATCGAGTTCCAAATTCTCCTGAATTGTTCTTGAATTCATGATGAATTCAGTCGAATTTGCCAATGAATAAATAACAATGAAAATATAAATACTGTAAATGTTTTACATTATTATATTTTTCATATTAATTTCAGAATTCCCCTGATATTATTTTAAACATTTTAAATTCCACTGAATTTCCGTGATTTTTTGCCGCTGAATCGCCATCGGAAAACCGATCGAAAAATCCCTGCAATTCGATTTTTTTCTAAAAATTCTGAACGATGACTGGGGGGTCTTCAATGTTGTCAATATGACAATTGCTAACATTCCAGGTGTCACTGGATATCTCTCCATTTGTCTTATCAATTGGAATAAAGATGAATGTCCTCGTGAATACATCCGGGAGGGAATGATATAATGCCAGGACCTCGGGTATTTGTCGGTGTATCTCGTACTCATAAATTTTCATGGGAAAATATTTTTGTTGTTTTTTCTTGGCAGCATCAGTGGTGAATGGCTTTTGTACTGTTGACGATGAGAATGTCAACTGAAATTGCGTCACGGAGGGATTATTTTCCAGGTTATTCGTATGCGGAAGGTCGGGGCATTGTGTCGATGGGAATCATTAGAGAATTCTTGAGAGGATTCCTCAAGGGGAATTACAGAGATCACCGATTATCAATCCAATTACGTGGATGTCAGATTAAGAACAATAATTCTTCGACCTGAGATCTCAAGAAATTTCATTTTTCAATTTAAATTTCAATTTCAGAATAATTGAAAGAAAAAATTCAATTCGCAAAAAAACACTGGGGCACTTTTAGACTGCAGTCTCCAACATTTTTTGAGGAGAAAAAAAACTCCCATTTTGCCAGGCTCTCCGCTATATAAATAAGAATTTCGATTTCCATTTTTCCGACATTTCGAAATTCAAGATTTGCAGCGCCGTCAATGATTCATTAAAACTTGAATACATTTTCATCTTTTATGTTAGAATTTTTGTATAGAGCACTTCAGGTACATAGAATTTGTTTTATTTTTATTTTTATTCATCTGTATCAGTCTCCAGCGGTGTAATTCATTTCTTGGAGAATTCACTGGGAATGCGATTCTCATAAATCCAGGGACAATTTCTCCCGAAGATGCTGCATTTCTCGGTGAATATCTTCTCGGTAGTGTCGGCACTCGTGTGCATCATCACCACAATTCCAAGACCGTGGGTACACAAGCTGTCATTAACCCCTCATTAGTGGAAAAAAAAATGTACCTCGGGGAGCCGCAGATGAGGGCATTGTGCATGAATCTCACTGCTGTACCAATTTAATATAGATTCCAAGTGACAAAGGACAATTGTCTCGGGTGAATCGCTCTTCTGGACGAAAATAATCATCAAGGACGTGCCTTGACCCCAATGCCAATTTGCCAAGTTGTTTTTGCGATTCACCGAGGATTGATTATGGGAATCTAGTCGAGAAAGTCCCGGGAATGTGGACACACCGAGAAATAATATTTAGTTTTATTTATTCTGATGTTCAGTCATTGTGCAATCAATTGACTCCCAAAGAATTTTTACCCGCGTGTTCTAAAACCAGAATGAGTCAATAAAAATTCAATTTCTCAACAAAAATATAAAAAATACCATTTAAACGAAATTTCTATCTCAACAACTTCGAATTTCACGGAGGAATCAATGAAAATTGATAACATCCATAAATGATTAATTATTCTCTACTGTTGAATGAAAATAGTCGTGAACAAAATCGTGAAATAGTGGAATATAAAAATATGAATTAGCAAAATTTTGAGAAGTCGGTGAATTTCACAAGTGAAATAATTTTCCTCTTGTGGGATAGACCCTGTCCTACACAAACCCAACGACACGGTAATTTTCACAATACAAATTGACAATTGTCCGATGACCGCTCAACAATGCACGTGATAAATAATTACAAATGGTGGTCTAGTGCGGGAAGAAATAACGCGAGTTTATTCGCACGACAACAACATGGAAAATGCATTAATATGATCTGTACCATCCGGCATTCGGTAACGAATATATATTCGTACACGTACTGAAGTACAAGTGCGTATGTCGTAATGCGTGGGTTGAAATATACCTTAACGCGTATCTTGGCTTGAGACGTCCAAGTGCCCGGAGGCACCTGTGTACCGCCCACGAGGAACCAGCTTCGCGGACACTCAGATACCTCTCGATATATCTCGCATATATTACCTAGTAAAATCATTGGATATTATCGAAGAGCACGTGGCAATTCAAAGAAAAAGCTATATTGAATTAAGCAGCGTTAAATTTTCATTGACACGAGAAATTAAAATTAAAAAAATTTTTCAATAATTCCTAAAACTGAAGAAAAAACACCGACAAATTATTGCACAACAATAAATAAAAATAAAATATAAAATAAAATTCTGAAAAGTCGAAAAACTGGGAATTTTAGGTAAAAGGGGGCAGAACAGTCTTAAGGAGGAAAATTCAGGGAATTCGACGGAACTTTCACCGAAAATCCATTGAATTTCAGAATATGTACCGATTAGGATAAACTCCGAGCCTGAGAGAAGCGCCATTTTATTCTAGAAGCAACCGGAAGAGACTCTTCGTGGGGGGGATGACATATGGATACTTCTCGGTGCACTTTCTAAGTCAACATTGTTCTGAACTTTGTTAATAGCTAGTTTTATCTCACGGACTTTGGGGACAGTTCAATTTGTCTTGAGGTGACAGCTACGTGTCAGAGGCCAATATTTGAATTGGTGATTTTGCGGTTGGTTTCATTGGTAAAGTGGACGGAACCAATTTGTTACTTCAGTGTCAAAAAATAACTGTAATGCCACTCAAAACCCCATAGCATTTCCCTAAACTTCCAAAATTTATCGATTTTTCATCAATTCTTACAGTAAAATTCACCTGACGTCTACCAATTGCGGAAATGTGTATAATTGCAATAATCCTTAAAAAATTCCCTCCAAATTTGAGTTCTGAAAAATTTATTTCCATTTGTAGGAATTCATTTTGGGCCTCACTTCGATGCCAGTCAAAATAAATCAAAAGAACAAACTCAATATTTTGAAATTTTTCAAAACTTTCCATGGCTCATCACAAATAAATGCGAACAATTTGTGTGTAAAAGACAGAATAATTTGGCCGGATGATTGGCATCAGTCTCTCAGTCTATTGATCTTCTTAACGATCCCATCAAACTCCAGGGCATCTTCATTTCCATCAGACAGTCCCTCCCACTCAGCGATGCGAGACAAACGTTTGACGTTGTTATTAGCGACTAGCATTGTTGACCACACATTACGTTATAAAAAAAAATCATCTATTTCTTTATTTGCACACCATTGAGCACATGAATTGCCGTAGCATTTGTTAGTAACGATGAGAGTTGTACAGATATACTCGAGGGGCACGAGAATAGCCGGTCTCACCATATCCGGCAAGGACGATCGTACCTACAGTATTGGGGACTTATAATGGGCCCAGTTTTCTCCCTCCCGTTCTATTCGTATACGATAAATACGTGTGGCAAACGTGTCGCCTCGAGTTTGACACAGTTCTCACCTAATGCCTTTACTCAGCTGCCATGCCTGCGGATTCTCCCTTTTGAATTCTAATCAACAGATTAAAACTACCAGAAGGGAAAGGGACAAAAAAAACATAATCCATCTGAAGTATTTCTTTTTCATTGCTCACTTTCACGGATTTATTTCAGTGTAAAACTCGTCAAATCCTCTCTGTTACGGTGAAAATAATAAAGATACAACGGTAATTGTTGAAAAAATAATAGCTATTATGGATTATTGTAATTCATTCATTCGTAACATTGACAAGTACTAAACTTATTGTTATGACTTAATGATAGGTCATCGATCATCGATGATTTCTGGTAGTTGGGTATTATAAAATAACGAGAAAGAACGGGTAGTGATGACACCTTTATCTGGAACATTGAAGTGTTGTTTTTTAATTATTCATGGATCTTTTGTTCGGAAAATAATGTAGAAGGGGTTACTTAGATTAGCCATTACAATGGCGTACGTGGGCGGCTATTTGCCAGCCAGTGACTTATAATGTCATGTACTCTCAAAGTCATCGATACATTTTGATTTCGTGTGGGTTATTTCAATAGATAATTACACAAATTCATTAACGAAACAACATTATAAGGTGATCTACTATTGAATTTGATTTAATATTTTCATCACTGGGAATATTCAACGGCTCTACTATTTTATCGTTTAGAATTCACATCTGCTGGTATTAATCTAGAAAATTGATTATTATCAACTATACACGCGCTACTAAAAATAGTTTTGGGCATTTTTGAATTTAGTCTCTCGTCAAAAAATCACTTTTGTACGACTTTCACTATAATTTTTTTTTATTTATTTCTCACTTGTATACGTTATCTGCTCTATTCGTTAGTCTAAGCTCGAGTGAATAGAACTGTCAGTGCACGTAAGACACTATTTTATTTTAAACTCTTCGTTTTTACATACAAAAAGGCTTCTACATGATTTTGGTATAAAAAATGTTTAAACACTGGAATGACAATTGTCAGACGTTAGGATATTCAGTGCAGTCTGAAGGATTTATTCTCTGATATAAGTTGGCATTTTATTTTTTAAATCATTGCCTCCTTCTCGTATTCTAGCCTCTCATCTCGGTATACGTTACCAATAGTATTTACTCATCTCCCTGCATCAACGCGTAATTAAATCGTCTTTGATAAATACAACCGATAGACTATATAAATAAATAAATTTGTAAAGAAAACGATCGTAGATCGATGAAAACAAGAATAGCCTATTTCAGCGCATCGAAATTTATCGAAAAATTCGTTTATCAACTTCAGATTGTTTAATGTAATCTCATCAATATGCGTAATTAACCGATGTCATGTGATAATCGTGATGTATTGGTATTTCACTTGAAATCTCCAATCTAAAACTCCAGAAAGATCATTCATTTGAATCGAGATTATTCGACCTAATCCTACACGATAAAACATATTTTCGATCTTACATCGTTAAAAAAATATACGAATCACTCGGTTACTCGCATTTCACCGATATTTTTCCATTTCGGCTTTATTCAAATGAATAATTTTTCCGAATCTCATCTCCCAGTAATTGTCCGAAGAAAATTCAACAACGCAGGACACTTAACGCTTAATCCTACGCGCAATTTTCATCGCTAATTAAATTTTAGCCTAGACGAAAAAGAAAAGCTCTTACTCTTCGCGATGAAAAGCAATAGATCGATAATCAATCAATCAACTACTATTCTCTCCATTAAGCACCATCCCAGCTTCATCAGCTTGGGTATCACCGAGGTATTTTCACGCTGCACCATTTGGAAAATAAACTACGATAAATCGAAATGAAAAAGTAATATAATAAAAGCACAAGGCTACTTCCTTGAATGGCTTTATCGTAACGTCAGCTATGAGTAACTTCTGAAACTGGCCGCAGTAAGTAACAAAAAAGGGACTTCCCCGAATTTGCGGTTCTCGTTCCATTTCGTTGCGTTCCCTTTTTATTTGATTTCAACTCGTTCTGCGAATTAACAGGTCAAAAATTGATTGATGCATCAACGTGAAATTATGATGTTCTTTCAACTCTTCACTGTTTGATCCGTCAGGCCCGACAATTCGCTATGGAAATAGGCCTCTTATCCGTCTTAACGGGAATTCTAGAACCCCTTGGTGGCCCTGAATCACTGAGTTCCACCCTGGAATAATCCTCACGGTGTATGGAATTTCAAATGCTGTCGGAATTGACAGACATTGCCCGTTTGTACACAGGCGCTGGTATTCTTGAAAAACCCCTCTCATTGGTTGCTTTGGGATCCTTTCTTGGACTCGTTGATACGTGTCCCTCTTGGGGCAATGCAACAGTACCATTACCATCAATCCACGCCCTCGTAAATTCAAGATTTGGCTCACCATCGCTGCTATCCTGATAATTTCTCAACAAATCCTGGAGCTTCTGCACCACCTGCTTGTCGTCCTGCAGATGTCCAACTTTCTGCAGTATCTGCTCTAACAAGGGATTGGCAACTTTGGTTGGCGATGACTGCAGCGAAACACTAGTTGTCGGCTTTATTCTCCTACCATTTCTGTCGTACTGTACACCATTCATGGATGTCTTTGGTAGACTCTGTCTGTTTGTATTCTTCCTGGAGAAATTCAATGACGGTGAGGCACGATTAACATTGCCATTAATGGCTGCTGTTGGATTAACAAAGGTATCTGATGACAAGCCTGGACGCTGTTTCGATTGACGACCGTTCCAGGTGCTACTGCCACTTTGTGAATGACTCTGATGGTGAGTTTTTGTCAGTGTACCAGCTGGTGGTTTACGCATGCTAGTTCGTAATCCATTTCGTTTGAGAGGACTTCCCTCAGGGCTTGAGTTACCCTCTCTCGGTGTTCTGCTTCCTGATGAACAACGAGAGAGATTGCTGTTCTCTCGTACCATTGATTGTGCACGAGTGGTACGATCACCTGGAATACTCCGGGATGGCGATGCACGGGGACTTCCGGTTTTTGTCTTGCGCAGACCTGTCTCGATGCTGTCGGTCTCGACGCACGAGCGCTCCACTTCCGGTCGCGGGGGTGACGGTTGTTCTGTAAGCATAAGATCAGTTTTTCATTTTAGCCCTGTGATTATAAGATTTCCATTATCGACATGATCAAATAAAATCATTCATTATTATTCATTAGTCATTTATTTATTTCTGAGTCACTAATGCAAATTTCAATAACCGTCATTTTTATGAGCATAATAAAAAACAATATAATGACATTTTATTCAGTATTAATAATAATTGATTATTATTGATAATATTGGGTAATATTCATTAGTTTTTCGATATTGAAAATAATTTTTAAGGGAATACATAGAATTCTTTTTCTTTTTCGTTGAGCCAGAAATATTTTTTCTGTCTGAATTCGTCCTGATTTGTTTGGTCATGCCAACCTGCTAGCTCCGGATAAATGACCATAAATGTTCATTCGATATTGAAATTAATTTTATTTACGCGCAATATCGCGCAAAATCATTGCATAACTTTGTTTTTTATCGTCTGTTGGAGCGTAAGTGCAACGTGTCAGAAATAATTTCGCTGTTGTTTTCGCGGAGAGATAAAATATCGGTGGATAAAGTTGGGAGTTTTAGTCTCGTGAGTGCCACACTCGTCCCACGCGGCTCTTCTTTTTTTTTCCACCCTTTAAGAGTCGTGTGCGGTTGTTTTTTTTTCTGTTTCTTTCTTTCGGCGGATAGCCCATTACCAAACCCACCAAATTCGTCTCGCATACCTGTGAATCGTTGTCCACCTCGGTTGTTAGCCACAACGCGTGGGCAAATGGACAGACTCGTGTCACGGGATAATGTCTTGTGTTTCTCGGTGTTCTTGGGTTTGATGTTACAATATATCGGGCCGGTTGTGGCCTCACCTGTGGGGATCAGTCCTTTTTTGCACCTGGGATGAGGTTTGAGGGGTCTAGGGTCATCTTGAATTACGGGCGAATTTAACGGACTATTTGTTGCATTTCAAAAAAAAAGGAAAATAGAATATTTTAATTAGTCTAAGTATTTAAAAAAACTCGTATTTGCCAGATGGTGAGAAAGGAATTGTTCGCGTCGCGAAATGTGAATGGCGGATGAAAATAAAGAAATGAAAAAATTAATTCGTTGAATTTAGCGAAAGGAATCCAACAAGTCGATCGATTCAGCTAATAATCAAGTCTTTGTAAAATATCTCTAAATCTGAGAGAGTTATCAAAATTTTTGTGATATCCTTTTTTCTAGTTCTCATTTCAGTCTACAAGAAAGGTTCAATAAAAAATTTCACCACCTCCCCCAGATTCCGAGATATTCCTTAAAAATTGTACACGTCACTTCTTCGCTACTGAATTCTTCGGATTCTCTCATGATTAATTAATAAATGAGTTCCATGATGAGTTAATTAATTTGCGGGAAAATTTTCCGACACGAAGATTACAGTCTTCTCGCAGTTCGAACAGCTCAGGCATATTATCTTCTCTAGAAAACGTACGCTAAATGTCAGTTGAGCCTTCTTCGTGGTTTTAACAAAAAATTTGTGTACGTATATAATGCACATGTATCAGGCGTATGTGGCTTTCGTGTACTTTGAATATTAATGCTCTACTATCTACGGGGTGGTCCGAACTCGTGAGGGACCAGGGGATATACCCCTAGTGTGTGGTGTATAGCCGACGTTGGTCCCACGGTGGCATCGTCACGACGATGTGGGAGCTACGGGTGAGAGCATTCAAGTGAGATGGAGAATAATGAAAGGTAGAGATGGACTCGAGGACAACGGGACGACGTGCGCACGATTCAGACTCATGGGGAATTAAGTACTAGTTTTTTTTATTACTATTATATCTTCTCCGAGAAAGATATTTGACGGGTTCCAGGGGTTTTTACGATTTTTCCAGGATCGATCTTTTAAAGATCGATTGTTTTAAACGCGAGTCGACCAATCTGTCGAATCGATCTATTTTCCGTCAAGACCGCGGTTTTCAGGTATCCGTCGTTTTTTTATTATTCACTTTTTAATTCATGTATTTTTATAAAACGTGGAATTTGTACAGAAAATTTTATCGAATTCAGAGAAGTAATAAAAAATCAATCGAAAGAAATTTGTTGGGATATTTTATGAATTAATTCGTTAGATTTCGATGACTTGTGGAAATGAAAAAAAATCAACGTAATGATGAAATAATTTTCTCCGTGTGTTTTTCTCGGTGGGAAAAAAAAAATTGTTGAAAGTTTTAGGTATTGGTAATTACTCGGTGCGCAATATTATCCAGTTACTCGGGTACAAGGGTACACTCTGGAGCATGTGATTTGTGAGTTAATAAACGACAGCCACACTCCATTATTATCCTTATCCCCGGTGCGATAAAATATCACGGTAAATGGTTTATTAAGTTCGATGACTGGTATGTGGAATGAGAGATACGTGCAGCATCGGGTGGAGACTCCCTGCTGCAATATATCGCGGATGTAACTCATCCATCTTTCGTATTCTCACATTTTCAATCATGTTCGCACTTTCTTGTGAATGGGTTTGGGAATTTTTATTGGCTTTGACGGTACGATTTCACTCGATTGTCGGTGATGGGATGGCAACAGGTACATGGGAAATCGAGGTCGATTCACAGTGGCTTCGTGTTCAATATCGTATGATAATGATCGGTTCGATTGATACCGGGGTTGTTTCGAATTAATTGAAATTACATTTAAGGATATCCAAGTTTTTGCCATTTTTCCTTTTTCACTTCAAACTCCTCTGCACTCGTAGCTGAGCCTTTCATTAAACCTCATTTTGCAATAATATTATTCACGTGTACAAAATTACAATTTTCCACAAAAAAAACTGTCTTTTTTTAACTTTTCTCCGAAAAATCAATTTTCTCTCAGGGAATTCATTATTTTAAAATTGCGGTAAACTTTTTCTTGAGTCTACCAAATGTCAATTATTTATTATTCCATTATCATGTTAATGATTATCTTTCTCTATTTTACTGGGATTAATTTATTTATGAAGTTGGTAGCTACTCCGATATTTTTTTAATAAAACGATTAGAAAGTAATCGAATAACTTCCAAATCTATAAAATGCCAATTTATTGATTTAAAAATTATAATAAATTTTTCCGCGAGCCTAAAAAACTCAAACTATTTATCATTTCATTATTTAATTATTCAACTAATCATCATCATCATCATCTTTATCTCTTCTGACGTGAATTTATTTACAAAGTTGGCATCTTTTTGGATAATAAAAAAAATAAAAAAAAATAGAAGTGAATAGAATGAGTTAGAAATGTTTAAAGTGTAAATTGAAAAGCTGGATGACTTGACAACTGCAGCCAATTAGCATAAACGGTATCAAAGACCAAGCCATGTGTGAAGTGGTGAGATTATTCAGTGTAATCGTGGAGTTAAAAAATAATTGAATAAGAGGCTCAACGTCGTGTGTCAAATGACTCACTTTGACAGGCGACAACCGTGGGCGATGTATGGTTAATCGTTGCTGGTGTACCGTTGATCAGTGGTGGTTGTACAGTACCCAAACTTCTGTATCCCTCGTCAGACACTTCACTACCGTTGTCAGAATGTTCACCGTCGTGGCCCGATTTACCAAATGTCTCAACCTCCTCTTTAATCGCTGGTGGACTTGGTGTTGGGCTACGACTTGTAGAATCCACTCTTCCGCACTTGTAGTTGTAGATCGAGGGCTCGTACTTCGGTGTGTCGTCTCTGTCTGTTCGTTTTGCTACACCACCTTCCACGACATATCGTTTTGAAAAGTCCTCGGACAGAGGCACTTTTGAACGAATCTCCTGGTGGAGATCTTTCTTCGGATCCTGCAAGCCAAACAAATTTTCAAATTACGCGTCATTTCTTTTTTTAGAGTTTGTTTCAATCATGAAGAAGGTAGCTGCAATAATTTTATTTTCAACCAACGGGGGACAAATATATATCCGACGTTGAACTATGATAAAAATTAATAATTAAAAAAAATTAATTGACAGAAGCATCAATTTGACTTTTAATCTGATAATAATTAAATGATTCTTAAGGATGTTCCACAGGTATATGCAGACAAAATTCACGTTTTTAAATTTTTTGACAAATTATCCATGTGATTAATGCAGAAAAAATCCACCGTTTTGCCATTATTTAATTAATTATCTTGCTCCTTTAGGTAGAGCAATTATACCTGATAATTATCCTGATGTCGGCTGTGATACATCTGGGATCTTCCATCGTACTTGACTTGTCGTATTTCCTCGTTGAGAGCTTTTCTCGTGGCGTCGATAGGACTCGTGCGACCAGATTTATTGACTTCCGGTTTGAATGTAGGGCTTCCGGTTGGTGCATTCGACTTGGGTGTTGGTGATCGCGATCTTGATTTACTCTCAAGGTCACTCCCTTGGCGAACCGGACTCGTTAACTTGGTCTGGGGTGTTGGACTCCGGGAACGATTGCCCGATCTTTTGAGATCATCGCCGAGGTGGTGGTTACGTCCCGCGTTGTGGGGGGTGGGTGATCGTGATCGATTTGTCGATATGCTTCTTGGTGTCTGGAGGGATTGCTGTTGGTTTACTGTACCAGGGCATGACCCAACACTCGACACTGAACTCCTGCGAGTTCTCGGAGGTGATCTTCATTAGACAAAATTTCAATGGGTTCAGTTCGGGGAATATTCACCTCCCTTTTTTCATTTTCGAAATTCTACTGATTTGATTTATCGCTCATTTATAATTTATCAAATTTAAATAATTATATTTTTTAATTACGTTAATATGGAGGCGAATTAATTTTTTGATTCAGGCAATTTAAAATCTTTTCATTAACATAATTGGATACTAAATTTAGGAAAATATTTTTTTATTGTTGATAATTTTATTGGATATGTATTTAGTTCAGTTGTTCCACTAAACTTGAAGGTAGAGAAAACTTGAGGAAATTAGGGGGAATTATGCAGTTTAAATGAATAAATTGATTGAATTTACTATTTTAAGAATTTCATGTATTTTTGGATGATCTTCATCAAAATTCACGCGAAATGATTAATTAATAAATCTGAATGAATAAAATTCAAATACCTTTCGTAATGCACCTGCGCGCTGCAAAGATCAAATGATCCTCCGGCCTTTTGTATGAGCTTAGCGGAGATCATCGAGCGATGAGCTGGGGAAAAAATGAAAAAGCAAAATAAAAATAAAAACAACAGATAAAAATAAATCGACTTGAACGACAGTGATGCAGATTAAAGTCGTGATGATGATATCTTTGTATGTAAATCCACAGCGTGTAACATCATAAATGGTAGATTCAGGTGAATGCAACACGACTAGGCGATCAAACCGAAAATAAAATGGCTGTAATAAAACGCTGAATGTTCTAGGTGAAGAACATGATGGCGTTGGGAAATATGGAGAGTGGTTGACGGATAGTTGGAGGATAATGATTAAAAAAAATAGACTCACAGGTACGACATCGACAGGGATCGTGCTTGTCTAGGTAGTGGCTCAGGGTGTCCCAACCACCCCCCACTCGAACCATAACGTGACTTCTGAGGATTCTAACGAATATCAGCACTTTGGTATCACCAATTCTGTATTTTCCCTCTGATACGCGAATCATTGGGAATTGCGTTGGGCACGTACACCTCTCCACCAGTTCTCGAACCTGAAATCATACAACAAACGAAAAAACATTTTAGTTTTTATGTCAATTTTACTGCAATCTTGTTCCACTTTTACATTCAATTGAATTTACTTCAAGTATTTTATTGAATTCGTTCCTCTGGAAATGATTGAAAAATTAAGATAATTGAGATTTTAATTAATTAATTCAGTATATTTTTATTAATTTTATTTCAAGTGTACCTTTGAAAAATTACCATTGAAATTTCTGAATTGAAATATCTCGCGAGATAATTCCCCATTTTTTCCACAACACAATGACCTTTCAATAAAAACATTCCCGGGAAATTCTTCGCTCAGAAATTTTCCAAGACTCCTACCCTAAACATGAGGGGAAAATTCATAGGAGTTAATAGTCTCCCCCGAAATTCCTTGGACACCGGAGTAGAAAATACCTGGAGATACTTTCCTCAAAATACGCCACATACTTTCGCCCCGCTAAATTCATATCTATTTCCATTCGCCTCGACATTGTGTCGCACAGATCGAGAGAAATGATCGTGCCACGATAAATCAATGGGTGAAAATTATATTTAGGTACCCAACAGCAGTTGAAACATGTTAACCACTGTCCCATGGCAACTGAGAAATATTTATATCAGTCATGATAAACTGTCGCATTAAAGAGCTTTCCCCTTTGCACGTGTTATGTAATTTCGATATATACTGCGCTTTGGATAACACAATGTCGATTTGTGAAACTGCTGGGATTATATATATCACCAGATGTCGTTTGACAATTGGTAAATTGTCGTTGATGAGAATTAGTGGTTGCTTTGGGGGGGAGCAATTGAAATTGTTATTCCGTAGGTCGATTGTTCCGCCTGCTGGATGATATATTGCTGGTCCATTCGTGCCAACACCCACTGGCACTCTTTCAGCAGTCGCATTTCTATTGCATACTGCAGGTGAAATTGTTTACGACAGTTTTGCTCAACCTGGGCTCAACGTTCCGCGGAATCCTTGTGCGTTGGCTTCGACATGCTCCATTGAATCGCGCTTTTTTCACACCGGCAATTATAACCGTTCGGCTATTGTCGTCGGTAATATACTCGAATGGTTAATTATGCCTGTGGGGACGGGTGAATCGTACAAAAAAATCGGGAATAAGTTGCACTGGGGGATTTGGAAAAATTGGAAATTTCTCAGCACCTCGAAATTCGAGTTCTCGGGTTTTCGTGGATTTTGTGGACAAGGAATTTCATTGAATTATTCTTCCAAAACTCCGAATTATTGCTAAAAAAATCCTGGACATTTCCAAATCCACAGGGAGATTCCATCAAAAATCTTTCAACCGCGTAATACAGCCCTTTTTATAATGACGGTAAAAATTCCTGTGAATTTCATTTTTTATCATTTCCATTGGACGAAAATGTGCGAAAAATCGTAAATTTTTGAACGACCGATTAATGAATCTGTCGTAATCGGATAATTTCACTCGCATGTCGAAAATGTTCCGGATATTTGTTGGACGAGTGAAAATGCACGGGAGGAAATAATCGGGTGATTGAGATTCTGTGGGTGTATTCACCCGGCACATACCTTACATATACGCACGCGATAAAATGCATATTCAGGGGCCTGAGGTGGGCGATACATCGCACCGCGATTAACCTGACGTCAATCGGTCCCCCGTTCCAAATAATTAATCGAGTGTGATCGAACGGTATCGATATGGCTAAAGGATTCGCAGGAAGTCGCCATTTTGTCTTCTGCGCGGGGGCCAATCCACCATTTGCTTTCACCTTTTTCAGTCTCAGATAATTCAGTTATCTCGAATAATCGATAATCAACGATCGCTGCATTCGATATTGAACTGAAACTCAGGTAATTGCAGATTCATGAAATTACGCGGGAAAAAAATAATTATTAGAATCAATTTGAATGTTGTAATTGATTCTGATAATTATTAAAATCATCAGAAAATCCGTTTTCTGATGATTTTAATATCTATTTATACTAGAAAATTCCGGCAAATTGGGAGAACGAAAAAAATGATTTTTCTGAAAACGATCCAGTTGACCTTGAATCTGATAATAATTAAATGATTATCAACAAAGGGCTTATCATTTCAGATACTCACGCTGTAATCCGAGAAAGACGTTCGACAGTTTCAATTGTTGCTACACAAATTTAAATAAAAACATGTCCATATATTACCCAGAACTTTCATATATTTTTTTCCTTGTACGATGAAGTTGCGAGAAATTTTTATATGTGTAGTCAAACGAGAAATATCGACGAGCTGAACCGGCAAACATATTCAATGAGCCAAGCACAAGTTGGTGAGAGCTGTTGAAAATAGGGTTGGATCGAAGGGATAAAATCCTGATAAGCCATATCGATCCATCGATTGAGTTGGACGTTTATTTACTCGTGTATATAACATTGACGTGAGGCACCGGGAGGGACAAATTGTGGCGCATTGCAGGTGAGCGGACAGGATGAATGGTTATGATGCTATAATGCAAGGCCACCACAAGCCTTACGTAATATAACCTAACTGTACGGAATAAAGATTATCCGTGTATTCGTTTTAGAGAGGCGAGGCATGATACGCGTCGCTCCACGGGATGATTGGGCCCCAGGTTACACCAGGGGCCCAGCCTCTTTCGTTTACAAGTTCATTTGAGATCCTTTGGTTGTCACAGATAAAGGGGATTCCCCCCTTCGCTGATAAAATTCCTAGACGCTAGGGACTTTTTTATTTAAAACTGAATTGAAAAAAGAAAATTTTTGTTTCACCGTAGATATTCTAATTGCAGATTTCAAATGTTAATATTTATATGGATTTACTGATATTGAGGAAATTTACTTCAATAAAAAAATTTTAATGAATGAATAAATGATTTTTTGGTGTGATTTTTAGAAAATTCAGGGGAAATTGGAAATTTCAAAAAATTGTACAATCTTTATTCATTTTTTTTTGGGAAATAATAAAAATTACAAATTATAAAATAGAATTCACGGGGGTGTGAGTGAAAAATGGGTCAGTAGACTGTAGTCGTCGGTCGATAATACAGGTAAAAGAGGGAATAGGAGAAAAAAAAACGGGAAAATTGAATGATTGCGATGGCCTCATTGAATTTCCATTTCTCTCGTTCATTATCTCATTCCGTGAATTATATCCTATCGGCGTGTGTGCTGTGGAGTAATACGGGCCTCTGACTACCTGTTATGCCTGTTGGTTTTTCAAATAATTATCGATTACTTTGAATATACCCGTGTAAAATGGCGCGTTGCAACTTATCATTTTTCCACTCGCAATATTCATAATTCTTCGTGGTAATGAAACGAGGACGAGAGGAGATTGACGGGGAAATAAGTGCAAACGAGGTGTTTATGCAGACATTTATAGCGGCGATAGAGAAATTCCTCTCATAAAATCGTTGAACATTCGACTGATATATAATGAAATCGGTTCCTTCGGTTTTTCCATGTGAACATTATCGGTTGATATTAAACATTCGATTAGCAATTTCATGGAGGCGCTTAGTGCGCATATTGCATTAACCGACACTCGTTTTTTCTTCATCGTCATTGAAAAAGTGAAGATAATTTTGTCTATAAAATTTTATGATTGACGCTGAGAAAATACTTGAAATTGTCTACACAAATTTCCCAATTTTCTCGCGTTTCAGGTCGTGGGAAGAATAATTAGTGGTTTATTACAGTTGGCAATATATTTTATGAATATTTATTTCACGTTCTCGAAACGAAATAATTGAAATTGTTCCGAGTTTCTAGTAGAATCGGGAGAGGAGAATTCTGTACATCCCGGCTTTATTGTTTTCTCGTTAAAAATATTATGAAAAAAATATATAATAATAAATTGTAAAGTTTTGGAATATAGAGTGTTGAAAATGGGTGCATTCCATTTTATCCTGTGCTCCATTCTTCCCGAGTCTCCCCTGCCTCTAAAAATAAAATTTTCTTTTTCGAATGTTTTCGATATATTTCTACAAAAATCCATGGAAGATATTTTGATCCGTGTCCCTTCAGTTTTTACTGCATTCACGCTAGTGAAAGTGCATTGACAAAAAAAAATCCACTAAATTTGTTGGATTACCCCATCGTCGACGATTTCTAAACTGACCACAAGTGTGTCCTAAAGACGTATCTCCGGCAAAATAACTCGATGATGAGAAATCCCACTCTGTTTCATCTCTTCCGTGTTTATCTTCAACATTCACAAGGTAGTTTCTTTTCGCGGCATAAAAAATATTGAGAGAAAAAAAAAATGAAAATACGCCACCAACGTATCGGCTATGCACAAACGAATCAACCTTCTCAAACATAATCTTCGCTTCTGCATTAGCATGTACCTTTTGTATGTACATAGGGTGAGGGGGAGGGTATGGGGTACATGGTACAAGCGTGCATAAATATCTCGTAAGTTGGCTTGAGGCACGCGCTGGGGTCACGTAACGAGAGGATCTCTAGTTGTGGATTACTCTAACACTCGCTAGAAAATTCAACTGAGATTTGTTTTCTGCGCTAGGATCGTTACGTTAATGGACACGTTCACGCGGAAGTGCCGATGCCCCTGATGTATTTGCGGGGAACAACTCTTGTTTCAGTTCGTTAGGAAAAAACCACTAGGATGGTCCGTGAAACTCACAGCAAACGGGGAGAAAAAAATTTCACGAAAATTGCCCGGGAAAATTGCTGTACAATTGTGCTCGTCGGTTTTTACGTAAACTACTGTTTTTGTACATTTTTTTTTCCGGAAGCGGTTATTCCGGATTTGGGAAAATTCTCAGGTGAAATTGTTCAACTATTTTTATTTTATTAAAACATGATTAATATAGGTTTTTAATGTCTGGAATCATTTTGGATATTTTGAAAACCTAAATCTTCAGATATTTTTTTCCAATTGGAGAGATTTCAATTAAAAAATAACGAATAGATAATTTTAATAATGTTTCTAGTTCAATTTTGATTGTTTGTAGAAGAATAAAATTAGTTATGGATTTATTGGGC